TAGGTTAAGAAGGAGGAATACGTTTTTGAGTGAGATAATTGTGTGTTTAGTTTTGGACATGTTAGGATGGAGGGGTTGCTAGGACACATTGGGGGAAATGTCTGTAAGATAGTGAAAAACTCAGATTTGAAGTTTGGCAGAGAAGATTTTCAAAGAGGTAAAAATTAAAGACACAAAACTGCATGAAAATGAGGCTGAAGGTGGCCTTGGATGGAAAGGGATGGGCATCCCCATGTGATGGGAGTAGACAAAGTAGAGAGCGGGAGAGAGGGAAAGAAGGAGAGTGGAAGAGATATTGTAGAATGAGAACCAGGGAAATACAGCCACAACCCTGGCTGAGGCGCTCTTGCTCAAGCTTGGCAGCCCAGCCATGATGATGATGCTGGTGATCATGATGTAAATGCTATCATTCATTGAGCAACTACTGACGTCTAGGGATTGTGCTAAGCATCTATATGTATTACTTTGTTTTACTTTGACAACCTTGTAAGGCAGAGATGATTAGTAGTCTCATATTACAGGTGAGAAAACTGAGAGTCAGATGTCAAATGACTTGACCAAGGAGATAAAACTATAAATGGTAGAGCTGGGATTTGAATCCAGTTCTATCTGCTTGCAAATTTCATTTTATTAACCGTTACACTGTTCTGCCATACCTCTGCACCTGAACCTGGAGAGATTTTTATTTTTAAGAATTTGAAAACAAAGATTATCAACTAAGGGGAAGAGACTAAGTTCTAGAAACATATAGATGATAAAGTGGGCATCAGTGTGTGCTGAATTCATACAGGTGTGAGATCATATTATTTATTTTTGGTGTTGAAAATTCATTGTAAATGAAAGGACTATGCACTGTTCTCTTTCTCTTTCTTTCTCAGAGTTTCACTCTGTCGCCAGGATAGAGTGCAGTGGCACAATCTTAGCTCACTGCAGCCTCAATCTCCTGGACCTTCCTTGGCCTCCCAAAGTGCTGGGATTACAGGCAAGAGCCATGTGCCTGGCCAAACCTCCATTTCTGAGTGTTCAGGGAGTGAGGGTGGCTGAGTACATTATTTGTCAACCTAGGATTTAGAAATATGGACAAGTGTGCACGACCCACAGTCAACGCTGCAGAGGATGAGAGGCGAGTCACTGGGTCCATGGGGAGCTGATGGGACTTTGTCTGGCTGTGTGAAAGCACTTTCTTTCAGCTAAAAAGGAAATTAAATGCTATCTGAAAATTGAGATAAAATTTAGATAAAAGTAACCCATAGGCCGGGCGCGGTGACTCAAGCCTGTAATCCCAGCACTTTGGGAGGCCGAGACGGGCGGATCACGAGGTCAGGAGATTGAGACCATCCTGGCTAACACGGGGAAACTCATCTCTACTAAAAAAATACAGAAAACTAGCCGGGCGAGGTGGCGCCTGTAGTCCCAACTACTCGGGAGGCTGAGGCAGGAGAATGGCTTCTCCTGCGTAAACCCGGGGGGCGGAGCTTGCAGCGAGCTGAGTTCCGGCCACTGCACTCCAGCCTGGGCGACAGAGCGAGACTCCATCTCAAAAAAAAAAAAAAAAAAAGAAAGTAACCCATAAAACCTGTGATGCAATAATGGCCTTAGGGGAGTCCAATCTAGGGGGGGCAGTTAAATGTCCAAATGTACTTTGGACTTTAAAGTGATGCTAATGGTAAGATTTGAATTTTTTAAATTAAGCTTTGGAGAAAAACACCAGGGTCACCCTAAGAGGTAACTGTTTGCAATAGAGGAATGAAGAAAGTCACCAGATTGCACCTTGATGATTGTATGTCTAGTTCTAAATGATATCAATTAAAAGAGGTAATAATTATTATGTGGTGATTAGTTTACAGGGATCATTTATTTAAACAAATAGCAAAAGTCTAATTGGTGGGAAAGAGATAATAATCAAAAACAACACAGTAAATGTGGCAAACGCACACACATACTCACACATGGTGTCTTTCAGGAAATTCAACATATGGGACAGGACCATACAGCAAGCTACCGACACTGCACGCATAATTGCAAAATCCCGAAAAGGTGCTAGACTCCCAGCCTCCCCACAAGGAAGATATGCCGGAAATTCAATTTCTCACCATGCGAATGAAAGCAGATAACAGAGGGAGAGCAGAAGCACTGGTGGAATAGCTATATCTAGTTGGTGTGAAGGGGTTTATAGTCCCCATCAATGAAGGTGCCAAAAGGGAGTGGTCTGAGGGACAAAACAAAATTAGTTTAAAAAGTTATACTCTAATCCTTGATAAACAAGTATAAATTTAAAAAAGAGTGCCACCGTGATGCATGGATAGGTTTTCTTTCATTTATTTATTTATTGATTGAGACAGGGTTTCACCATGCTGCCCAGGATGGTCTTGAACTCCTGAGCTCAAGTGATCCACCTACCTCCACCTCTCAAATTGTTGGGATTACAGGCATGAGCCACTGCATCTGGCTGGGTTTCTTTTTTATTTTACTTTGTTTTATTTTTTTGAGACAGAGTCTCACTCTATCACCCAGACTGGAGTGCAGTGGTGTGATCTCGGCTCACTGCAACCTCTGCCTTCCAGGTTCAAGTGATTCTCCTGTCTCAGCCTCCTGAGTAGCTGGAATTACAGGCACCCACCACCATACCTGGCTAATTTTTGTATTTTTAGTAGAGACAGGGTTTCACCATGTCGGCCAGGCTGGTCTCGAACTCCTGGCCTCAAATGATCCACCTGCCTCGGCCTTCCAAAGTTCTGGGATTATAGGTGTGAGCCACTGCACCTGGCCGGGTTTCTTTTTTTAATCCCCATATTGTCCCACTCTTGCTGTGTGGAGACTGGCCTGGGAGTTTAAGCTAAACCCTGAGGGTTCAAACACTTTCTAGTCTTAGGAGCAGTGATGTGAGCCACCTCTTCCCCTTGCTTCTCTGGCTCGCCACTGCAAAGCTGCACGTTGAGGATGGGAGAGCCGCAGGGAGGAGGAGCGTGGATCCCTGAGTCATGTCTCAGCCAGTGCTCCCCGGTGCGGCCTTCCATCCCCATTCCCACTTTCGTGGACAGGTATGAAGAGGGTCTTAGAAACAGCGGTTCCAGTGCTTGCCTCTCCCTAGTCTCTGAGATCCCCCTATGACGTGCAGGCCATACATTCTGAACACATTGAAAGGCTTAGGTGGCCAGCTGCTCTTCTATTCCCAATAAGAAATAAACTCTAGGGATTCCTGGAATTTCCTTCTGGAGGTTTGTAAGTTCCTCTAATGTTTTTTTTTCTGGCAAGAGCCTCTCCTTAGTGTCTTTTCTGTGGGGATAGAAGAGCAGGTATAGAGCTAAGCAGGGGTGTACACTTAGCTTCCCACGGGCATGCCCTGCCCTCACCTCTTTCCCAGAGTGTGTGCCTGAGAGCCCCCTCAAGGCCTTCTCAGAGGGATCACTCCCCTGTCATATCCTCACAGGCTACTGCTACCCCTCCTACAGTTACAATGACAGCTACTAGATTGTGTGTTTATAGATATTTCTCAATATTCCACAGGAAGCATGTACCTTTTTCAGTATGAGAAAAGAAAAGGCTTGAGCTAAAACTTATAACACAATAAGTTGTCTTTACATTAAATCTCATTTCCTATAATTCTAGTAACTCCAAAGTTTTTGATAATTTGGAGGAAATTTACCAGCTGGTTTACCATTATTTTAACTCAAGAAAAAGATGTTCTCAAGAATTTGGCAATGCTGAGTGCACAAAAATATACGAATGAGACAATATTATTTTTTAAAAAATTATTTTAAAATACTTTAAGAAGAGTGAGGAGCTTTTAAGTTCTCCTTTCGTATATGTCATTGATGCATTTCTTATAAGCCATTTTTATCCATTCTTTAAAGCAGTTTGACCTAGGAGTCCTGCTAGACCATAATAAGCCCAGTTTCAAGAAGCGTACCAGAAAGTTAAAACACACAAATAAACAAACCTCAAATAAACAAATGTTCAGCTTTTCTTTGAACATCGCAGCTCTCTCACATATATTGTTCAGAGTTCTTGGACTCAATCAACAGAAATGGTGTCCTGCTGTCTTCAACAAAAGAGAATTGATTGGAAGGCCCATTGGGACTTTGTGAGTTCAAAGGATCTGTTTGCAAAAGGGCAGGAACCATAGTCCTTTACGGTGGGAAGAGGCCAGAGGCCCCGCAGGGCCCTCAGGAGCTGGCCAGTCAGCACCACCTTCTCGGCTGTTCTTTGGGGTCTGGCATCTTGCTTCAGAGCCAGCTCTAGTTCACACCCTCCCTGCCTCTCCTGTGCTGTGGGAGGATCCGAAATGGAGATTCTGTTTTTTCCCTTCAGCTTCCACAGCAAGAGCAAGGTGCTATTTCAAACAGGGATCAGGTGCTGGGCAGTCAAGAATACAAACAACTCAACAAATGTCCTCTCTGCTTATGAGGTTTTCATAAAGAAATTTTAAATCATTTTGTGGAGGTTGGGCTCCGTGGCTCATACCTGTGATCCCAGAGCTTTGGGAGGCCAAGGAGGAAGATCACTTGAGTGCAGGAGTTTGAGACCAGCCTGGGCGACATAGCAAGACCCTGTCTCTACAAAAAATAAAAAAATTAGCCAGGTGTGGTGGCTCATGCCCGTGGCTCCACCTACTTGGGAGGCTGAGGCAGGCAGATTGCCTGAGCTCAGGAGGTTGAGGCTGCAGCAAGCCTAGATAGTGCCACTGCACTCCAGCCTAGGTGACAGTGAGACCCTCTCTCTTAAAAAAAAAATCTTATGGGGCAACCATTTATTTATTAAACTGCTTTATTGAGATATAATTCACACATCATAAAATTCACTCATCTAATTATACAGTTGATTGAGTTTTGGTATATTCACAGAATGGTGCAACCACCACCACATTCTAATTTTAGGACAAACCATTTGTTTTCAAAATTGAAGATAAAGAATTCCATGTTATGCAACCTCGGCTAGATTTAGAAACACATCTGTTCCATGGGGCGGTAAGTCTCTGGCCATGAATTCCTCCTGCCTACCTCTCTTTATCCTTGAAGGCCCAAGAAGAGCAGGAGCTCAGGGTCTGCACAGCAGGTGTGGGTTCTTAGGGACGGCTCTGACTTGGTGTGGCAAGGCGGCCAGCCGGTCACTTCATGCCCTCTGGCTCCAAACGATCACATTCTGAAAGAAAGGAGAGAGCAGAGACTTCCCAGCGCTTTTTGCCCCTTTCATCAGCAGCAGACTTTGGGAAGACCCGGTCTGCTCTCTCATACCTTCCATCTTGGCTTTACTTTCCCTTTTTAAAGGAGCCCAAAGAGAAACATTCTTTAATTGCTACCCAAACCCGCCTCTAGAGGGCAGACAGTTCCCCAGCTGAGCAGGGAGGGATCCTGCATCTCCGAGCCGCCCCGCTGTTCCATCCGCAGGAACTCTTACCTAGGATTTTCTGCTTCTGGGTTCCTTCTAGGTTTGCCGCAGCGCATCCCCGTGCTGGAAACGTTCCGGCGCGGTGGGGAGTGCAGGTGTTGTGGTTGTGGCTCTTTTCTTTCTGGAAAGAAATCTCTGAACCCACCCCTCCTCACACCCCAACTCAGGTTTAGAATGTATCCAAAGGACCGCAAGAGCGTTCTACCCATTTTATTTCATACAAGTTACCCTTCATAGTCCCTTTAAACATTTCGATGAAATGCATGTGCCATAAAATTTACCATTTAAACTTTTTAAGCGTACAGTTCTGTGGCATTAAGTACGTTCACATTGTTCAACAATCGCTACCAGGTTATTTTCATCTTTGCAAACTGAAACTGTATGCCCACTAAACAATAACTCTCCATTTACCCTCTCCCCAGCCACTGGCAACCAGCATTCTGCTTCCGTCTCTATGAGTTTGACTACTCCAGGAATCTCATATAAGTGGAATCAGACAGTATTTGTCTTTTTGTAACTGGCTTATTTCACACAGCATAATGTCTTCAAGGTTCAACATATTGTAGCATGTGTCAGAATTTCCTCCTCCTCCTCCTTCTGCTCCTCCTCCTCCTTTTCCTCCTCTCCCTCCTCCTCCTCCTCCTTCTTTTTTGAGACAGGGTCTTGCTTTGTTGCCCAGACTGGAGTGTAGTGGTGTGATCAAAGCTCATTGCAGCCTCCAACGCTTGGGCTCAAAGGATCGTCTTGCCTCAGTCTCTCGAATAACCAGGGGTACAGGCATGCACCACCATGCCCAGCTAACTTTTGAGTTTTTATTTTTGTAAAGAGAGGGCCTCACTATGCTGCCCATGCTGGTCTTGAACTCTTGGCTTCAAGGGACCCTCCTGCCTCCACCTCCCAAAGTGCTGGGATTACGGGTGTGAGCCACTACACCTGGCTCAGATTTTCTTTCGTTTTCAAGTGGAATAGTATTCCACTGTATGGCTGTGCCACATTTTCTTTATCCACTCATCTATCAATGGGCACGTGGGTTGCTTCCACCTTTGGTTGTTGTGAAGAGTGTTGCCGCGAATGTGGGTGTGCACGTAGCCCTTTGAGTCCATGGTCTCAACTCCTTTGGGTTTTCATGATCATTTTTGCCCAACGGGAGAATAAGATAAACCTACCTTAAGGCAGGGCTTTCCCACTTTTTCATGTTCAGGCTTACAAAGGAAATATCTGTTTGTCTCCCTGGGATTTGGAGCCTCAACAGGGTGGTGGAGGTGACTAGCCCAGCATCCTGCTGCCCCAGCTGCCCACTCCCAGACATGCTTGGACACACTGGGTAGGGGAGCTCTCTGCTCTGGATAACAAGATTCTCCAGGTTTAGAGTCCATGTGTCAAGTGGTCCGTGTGGTGCATGGAGTATAGATGCTCTAGGTGTGGGTGATGGGATGAGGTGTACGAAAAAGGCTCTGACTTCCCCTTGGCTCACACCCCTTCCTAGAGTTGGCCCTCTGTAGCCCTAGAATGAGACCCACTGGCTCTCATAGCCCCCGGCATAGCAGCTGCTTGGAACAGCTGCATAATGTTACTGAAGTGGATCAATCAAATTATCCAAAAAGCCAGCATTAGGTTAGGATGCCCGAGGCAGGCAGGCGGCTGTGGGGGCTGAGCTGGAAGACTGGACTGGGGCTGCCGCTCTGGGCGGCACTTAGAGACCAGTGTAAACTGAGCTGCGGATCCCGTTCAGAAGAAAAAGTGAGAAGGAAGCCACAGGCAGGGCTGAGCAGCGGGCAGGTACCTTGAGGGAGAGGGAGAGGAACAGGGAGAAGGAGGGGAGGGAGAGGCTGCCCCAGGACTTAGAGCTTCTGTGAGGCTTTGGGGATGCTTCTGCATTTCACTTTTGCAAAAGTCAATTCTATCGACATTACAGTCTCCTTCCCTTGAGGCAGATGGGCTGGCTTACCCACCTTGAAGGTTCTTAGGGGCAGGTGCAGTTGAGAAAAAGCCAGAACGTGGGGAGGACTGCTTCCGGACTGGTGCAGTGGGAAAGAATGGCCACCAAGACAGCACTGAATGCTTCTTTTTCAAATATTTTATTAATCTGTTTGGCCAAACAGGTAATGGAAACTGAGAATAATAATTTGCTAAAAACTTCAGGTCATGAATGCCCCTTTCCCCCAGGAAACAAAAGACTCCATGGTTACAGAATGCACCATTGGGTTATGACAACATTTCAAAATAATGTTTCCATTTCATATGTAACAATGTAAACTTCAAAAATAGTAAACTCTAACCCCTGACCCTCTTTACAGATCTATCACAGATAGAATTTTCTGGCAGACCTAAATTGTGTAAGTAAACAGCCTGGTGCTTAAAAGTTTCATAAAAAGGTTTACAGATTTCAGTAAATAATTTTTCAGTCTTGGTCAGGAAGTAAAAGCAGCCAGCAATTCCCCTCCTGCACAAGGTACCTTACATGGGTATTGTACACCCTGGGCCACACTCCGTATACACTGGCCATCAGCTCTGTCACTTTTGTACACAGACATACACATATATAGAGAGTTTTATTTGTTTCTAAAGATTTTTACATCTAAATTATAAGACGGCGCCAGTGACGTATCACGTCACCTCGCTTCACATAGGTAAAGACGAAAATTCTGTAGAAGGCACTGTGATTTCTCTTGCACGATCTTACACAGACACATGAGAGCAGGCCAGCCGGGGCTTGGACTTATCTTGTCCTTCCTGGTACCTGGCACAGACCTGTCCTCTGATAGTTTTTGATGTTCATCATCCATTTCTGCCTTGCCTCTTCACATCCCAGACATCCTTCCCTCCCTTCTTCCATCCCTCCCTCCATCCATCCATCCATCCAAATAAATTGACAGTTATCTTTTGGTTCATTGAAACTCCTTAAAATTAAGAGTACAGCTCTGGTATAAAACAAAATATGACCTACCATAGCTGAAAAATAATCACAGTGTACAATGTCATGTTCAGTTGCTAAGATTCTAAACACTTGCCCTGACTTGTCAAGAACGTCAGCCATCCAAAACGATCTATGCAGGGATCTTTTAAACCCACTTTACATTCGTTGGAAAAGCACTGAGAGGTTCTTCTTTCCTCTTTTGTATTGAATTGGTACCCTTTAGTGGAAGGTCTGATGTGGAAAAGTGCAAGCAAATTGGACATGCCAATAAATACCATAGAACTTACCGCAGATGACCAAAACTGTACAGGTATGTACACCTTACCCAACTGAGGTTCCTCCCGGCAGGAATAGACCTCCCAGTCATTACCACCGAGTTCTAGAGGAGTTGGTGTTAGCGGGCGAAGGAAGGGCGGGCTCTTCTGTTCTTGCTCTGAGGTCCTGAGCTCAGGTCGGCAGCGCCCTCTGCAGGCTCCTCCTTCTTCCTCACTTTGAGGCGGGTGAGCAGCTTGATCAACCACACATCCCACTCCTCTGGCAGGAGCAGGAGGAGAAAACCCAGGCCGATGATGATGATGGCGATGACACGGACCCCATTGAAGACAATCTGACTGGTGTAGTGATCAATCACTGTGGGAGACAGAGCATGGAGGTTACCCAGCTGCAGGGCTGGGGGCATGTCCCCGGAGAGCGGGCAGGGTCTGGGGGCATCCTCCTCTGCCTGGCAGTGTTGTGGTCTTGCCTGGACCATAGGATTCTCCTCAGTATGATTTTGTTTCAGGTGGGCTGGGGTTACCTCTCGTAAGTCACCCTTAACTTTATAAAACCTCTCTGGTATGAGGCCTTGCATTTGTATGTCACCTCCCAAAACTGACTTGATAGTTCAAACATTGATATATGTGATTAAAAAAAGTGAATGAAGGGCAATTGAGGAGATGAGAGAGAGAGAGAGAGAGAGAGAGAGAGAGATTACACACACACACACACACATATTTGACCCTTGAATAACATGGGTTTGAACTGTACAGATCCACTTACATGTAGATTTTCTTCCACCTCTGCCACACTAAGACAGAAAGACCAGCCCCTCCTCTTCCTTCTCCTCCTCAGCCTACTCAGTGTGAAGATGACCGTGAAGATGAAGACCTTTATGATAGCCCACTTCCACTTAACGGGTAGCAAATAGACTTTCTCTTTCTTATGATTTTCTTAATAACATTTTCTTTTCTTCAGCTTTATTGTGAGAGTACAATATATCATACAAATAACACACACGACATATGTGAATCAACTGCTTTTCATCAGCAAGGCTTCTGGTCAACAGTACCCCATTAGTAGTTAAGTTTTTGGGGAACTGACAGTTGTATGTGGATTTTCAACTATTCAGGGGTTGGTGCCCCCAATCTCTCTACATTGTTCAAGGGTCAACTGTATTTTTTTGTTTTTTTTGAGACAGTGTCTCACTGTCATGCAAGCTGGAGTGCAGTGGTGTGATCAGGGCTCACTGCAACCTCCACTTCCTGGGCTCTAGTGATCCTCCCATCCAGCCTCCTGAGTAGCTGGGACTATAGGTGCCACCACACCTGGCTAATTTTTGTTATTATTATTATTATTATTATTATTTTGTAGAGATGGGGTTTTGTCATGTTGCTCAGGCTGGTGGAGAACTCCTGGGCTCAAGCGATCGTCCCACCTTGGCCTCCCAAAGTGCTAGGATTACAGGCGTGAGCTCCCGTGCCTGGTCCGTATTTCAGTTTTTAATATTGGTTAAACATTCTGTTAATTCAGCAGATAAGGAGAATCAACCAGCCAGTCCTGTGAGCAGATGTCAGGGAAAACCCAAAAGCTGGGCAATGACTCTGCTTTGACAAGTGAGATACCCAGCAGGTTCCCTGGCTTCTCGCTTCCAATCAAGAGTGGCCTGGGATTCCTTTTTTGGACTCATCATTAAACCTTTTATGTTGCAGGTAAGTAATGAAAAATTATTTTAATTAATCCCTCAAACACCTGGCCATATTGTACACTCAGAGTAAGTTTCTATACAAGACAACTGGAACATGCCTTCTGGAGACAGGAACACGGTGTGACTACAAACTAAAGATGCAAAGAATGTAGGGGGAGAATGGTGACAAGAGATTTTTCAGAAGCCTGCAGTGTCTGGACCATTTTCCTTTTTTACCAGCTGTCTAGGAGCTCAGGTGCTTTCTGCATTTTGAAATGCTGTCTCATTGATTATTTCATCTGGTTGTCACATCAACCGAGGTAGCAAGGGTAGGTATGATTTCTCATTTGCAGGGGAGGCAAGCTAAGGCTCAGAGAGCAGATGAGTTGGGACCACAGATCTCCAGGTGGGCTGTGGTGGTGCTGGGCCCGAGCCCTGTCTCCTGACGCCTCCCCCAGGCCTGGTACTGTCGCCGCTGTGAGGCAGTCCTTCCAGAGGAGTCTGGGCTGTGGTGGGGCAGAGAGGTCCAGGGCCTGTGGAATAGGAGCGGTGGGAAACATGGGGAAAGGCTTGCGAAATTGGGGTGCCTGCAGGCATACTCACCACCACATTGAACAGGATAAGGGTTTGCCATTCCCTTGGGGTTGGGGGTGGCGGTGATCTTTTAATGGCCTGGAAGTGGCAGGATTTGGGAGGTGGATTTGGAGGAAGCTG